ACCTACTCTAGAAAGTTGATTTCTCCAGAAAGAATAACTGTAATAGTATACAGCACTTCCAAAGGTTTAGCACGCTGCATGTCTACATGTCTCATCTTTTTAAAAGTGCTTGCCGACATCAAAACTATATTAAAATATGCAAGCTTGATGATATTTTTTTATAATAAATATATCTAACAAAATAAATGCAGAGACATGTTAAAAAAAAAAAAAAAAAATGGTTAAATGATGTGCTTATTTTCACAAGTAAACAATACAGTTTTACAAAAAGGCCAGAAAGATGTAAAATTAATATTGGTATGAGGGCGGACTGCACCATACTGTAGATACAGTTCTATTTCTACTACACTGTACAGTGCTTTATAAGCTGTTAAAGCAGCCTGCAAATAATCCATTTAGTGTACTAAATGTTTTCAGATCCCCTTCATATCCACTGACACTTTGTCACTTACTCATTTAATCAGTCCAATGCCTGTTATAAGGCTATACTGCCACAAGCTGCAGCATTGATTCAATATGTAGTAACATATTGAATGTGAATGCAACACAAATACTGGCAACATATGCCAATTTTGCACACAATTTACATTAGCCTGGCCGGAACTTTGTAGCCAGAGGTAGAATTTCACATTTCTGTTAAAGGACCACTATAGTGCCCTGAGGGTGCCCCCACCCGCCAGGCTGGATGGCGAGGAAATGGGTTAAACTTACCTTTATTCCAGCGCCGGGCGGGGAGCTCTCCTCCTCCTTTCCGCCTCCGATCCTCCTCTTGGGCTGAATGCGCGGCAAGAGCTGCGTGCGCATTCAGCCGGTCTCATAGGAAAGCATTTACAATGATGATTTTAACAGTGAGAAGCACACAAGCGCCTCTAGCGGCTGTCAATGAGACAGCCACTAGAGGATTTGGAGGCTGGATTAACCCATTTATAAACATATGTTCTCTAAAACTGCTATGTTTATTAAAAAAAGGGGTTAATCCTAGAGGGACCAGGCACCCAGACCACTTCATTAAGCTGAAGTGGTCTGGGTGCCTAGAGTGGTCCTTTAAAGTCACTTGTGTCAGCAGTGTAACTAGCCCATGGCACAAAAGTACAAATATCTCAATATGTGCAGCATTTAAAAAGCAAAGCACTTCACATACATACTCTGGGCACTATGACCACTTCAAATCACTGAAGTGGACATGGTGATTGGAATATCCCTTTAATAAAAACTTGAACATATATTCCTATAATATTCCATCATCAACTCACCACAAATCTAACCATATGGTTCACACAATGGTAATCACAGAAATTCTTAGGTACCAGGAATTAAATGGTAATTTGACGTTTTTTTAATGAATGAAATACCAGTCCCAAATAATACTGTAAATTCGTAAATTAATAAGCAGACATTATAGAATATGCATAGACGTCATTAGTGCTTTACTATTTATGTACTTTTATATAAAGGATTTTTCAAAAAATATTCTTATATCGAATGTGACAGATCTGCTTTATCAAAAAGTACAGTGTTTTATTTTGTTGGATACCCAGTCCTATAATCTTTTGACAAACAACTTTTAACAAAGTGCATACAGATGATTTTTGCTTTCTAATTTAAAATGTGGGGGGAAAAAAATAAATAAAAAAGGTACAACAATTGCAATACCAGAAGACTGCAATCTACAACAAATATCGAACACAGATTGAACTTGTTAGTTACATTAATAATAGATGTGATAATTGCTTTTATAACAGTGCACAATTTAACAAATTTAAAAGCTCTAGAATAAACATTTGGCTGTGTCTCATTCTCTAGCTGTGTCGGATTGGTAGACAACACTGTACAGAGTACAGTTCTTGCACAGTATTAGAGAAGATGAAACAATCACTTCAAAAAGATTCAATCCCCATTGAAAAAAAAAGGCTTATCAAAATTGACACACTCAGTGGTTTGCAATGAACAAATCAAACTAAAGCAATTGAAAGAGCTCAACACAATGAATGCTTCAAGTGGTTTCCCCAAAATTGACTTAAAATGCTACTTCTAATGACTTCTCCAGTTTTAAAATTACTCAACGCCCTGAATAGAATACCTCACAACAGCACAAATATGCAAAACAGGTGTTGTGTCCAGCAAACCTGATGCAACTAACCAAGGGCTTCATTAGTTGCACCAGATGTGCTTGAGCTGGAACACTTGAAATACCTGAACTGGCTAGAGGTTAACAGAGTGTCATGTTCGACTGCATGTTAGAAATATGGCTAAGTCAAAAGAGTGGTCCACAAAGTTAAGAGAAAAGATCATCGCCCTTCACAAACAAGGAACAGGATACAAAAATATGTTCCTAGAGAAACCACCGGAAGCATAGTTTGCAGGTTCAAAGTTGAAGGAACAGTGGCTACACTACCTGGACGAGGCAGAAAAACAAGGCTATAAATGACAGAAACAAGATATCTGAGAAGGCAGGTTGTGAAAAACCCCTGAGTGACTGCAAAAGATCTGAAGGAAGACTTGGTGGCAACATGCACTAAGGTTTCAGTAAGAATAGTGAGGTGCATACTAAATACAGAAGGCATCCATGCCAGAATTCCAGTACACACACCACTACTGACCCAAGAAAATGAAGAATACACTGAAAAAAAAAAATTTAAAAAAAAAAATTAAAAAATAAAAAAATGTAAAAATAAAACACACTCTACCTACAGTAAAGCATGGTGATGCTCTGGTGCTACTCTGCAACCTCTGGCACTGGAAACCAGTAGCATGTGTTACACAAGATGGATTCATTTAAGTATCAGGAAAACCTAGGAAAAAAATGTCACGCCAGCTGTGAGGAAGTTGAAGCTTGGCCATCAATGGACTTTCCAACAAGACAATGAACCCAAGCATTCCTCAAATTCCACCAAGGCTTGGTTGCAGGAGTTCTGGAAAATTCTACAGTGGCCATCACAGTCACATGATTTGAACCCCATTGAAAATCTCTGATTAGATTAGAAGAAGGTGGTTGCAGCACGCAAACCCAAGAATATTACTGAACTGGAAGCCATTGCTCATGAGCAATAGGCTAAGATTCCTCAGGAACGCTGCCAAAAGCTGGTGTCCGGCAATGCACCTAGTTTGCAGCAGGGCATAACAGCAAAAGAGTGCTCTACTAATTACTTAAGATGCTTGCCATGAGGGGGTTGAATAATTTCAAGACTGAAGAAATTATAAGTTGCCTTTTTAGTTGAGTTTGCAGAAACCACTTGAACCATTTGTTGTGTTGAGCTATTTCAATATGGGTTGAATACTTTTCATTACAACTGTATATTATACAAACACTAGTTTTCAAAAGCAAAGATAAAAGAAAATTCTGGCCAACCATTAATATCTATGGCCTGCAGGCAGCATTAGCAACCAGACAAATAGTTAATAACGTTCAATGGCGAGAGGGCTAACAATGTTGTTGCTGGCCAGCAGTCACATTAATGTAAAGAAAAGAAGAAAAAAAAAATGGAGGTCAATTTGACCCCTCTAATAGTATAATGGAGGGTGAAGATCTCCCTTATGCCCTGACCTGCTAAGCTACGTGTGGTGGCATATCAACCAAATATTTAAAACAAGGGGATGGTGCCTTAAAAATAACAGGCTGTTCATTGTTTAGCATACATGCCCCACTTCAAGCATGGCAAGGGGGAGCATGAGTGTGGTATAAAAGTATTTTATGCCTCTCACATGCCCCTATCACTATTGCTGCTCGCTGCAATAGCCAAATGAATACACAAGTCTAACGGACAGCACCTAAGCTACATTATTCACCCATTCATTGCCATACTTGGACTTAATCTTTGTTCAGCATCAGTGACTAGCACGTATGAATAGACTACTAAGTTTGGAAAGCAAAACATGAATCTGCAATATGGTTTGCAGGATTTAATGGGACACTCCAGGCAATAATTTAAGCACTAAGTTGCCTCTAGCTGCAATTTCCCGCCCCTCCCTATAGTACTGTGGCACTTATGTGAGTTTCAATGATATTCCAACATAGTTTTTATGGGTATTTTATCATAATGATGGGATCACTTTTACTGCACATAATGTGCGTGCATGATCCCATACAGCATAGCATCACGTCTTCTCAGAGTTCTGAGAGTATACAGACATGCATGAGCTGTAGGTAGCACTTAAGATGTGTCTACTACTAGATAACCTGCTAGGTTCAATTCTTCAACTCGCCTATAGTGACAGCTTCGCATTTTTACCTCTGATCAATAAAACTGGATGGGAGTGAGGTTATGCTGGAAGAATAGAACCTAACTACAAATTTTAGGCTAAAAAAATAAATAAAATCACTTAACTGAACACATAACCAACTTTTCTCTGAAATGTATTAATAATAATAATGCTAATTCCAAGAAAGGAAAAACTGTTTTGGCTCTGCAGCTACAGTGCACAAGGACAGTATTACAAAGCCATCACATGGGCTAGCCATTTCAAATATCCAGATCTGGACAGAATCTTGAAAGCACAGTTTTGTTCAAGAAAAAAAAAAAAGAAAAGAAAACAACCTCATCCACTCCTTTAGGTTTTTCCACCTCAACTAGTACAACATACTAGCTGGCCTTCCTCTCTCATGCCTCTGCCAGACTAATCCACCATACTGGCGGTCACTCTGTATCCGCTGCATAGAGATATGCAAGTCTCTTCACTGGCTTCACTATCCACAGCTTCTCACTCTGACTTCCTGTCCTCACTGATCTACAAATCTATTCCAGCTAACAACGACCTGCTCTTTGTATCACCTCTACCCATGCTAGACTGCATAATTTCTCCTGTGCAACATCAGACTTTTTCTTTAAGGGATTAAAGAAGTGTTTACCATCTCAGCAACCACATATAGCGGTTTATATAGAAACATTTATAATCTTGCTCTTTAATATGTTCACTGCTCAACCAATTACAAACCAATAATAACAGGGAACATATTATGTATATTTGTTCTGTCAGTGACTTGCACTTTTATATTGTCTCACCTCCATTAATCGGTGCCTCTGATCTTGCCTCTTGAAATGTAACTGGGAAGCCCCTCAATATATCATGCTCCAGAGAAGCCCACATTGCAGCCAGATGAGTAGGCAGATAAGCAGATAAAATTACCTCAGATGTGGGCTGACAAGTAGTTTATGACAGATACCACAGGGTGTTAATGATAATTCTGAAAGACCTGAAATATAATTTAGTTTATGTAATACACAGAACTGTACTTAACATATAATCACAGAGTCAATTATTTATCGATGAGTTATTGAAGAAAATATATATACACACACACACATACACACTAGCTTGCAAAAATCAGGCCCAATTAGAAAACCATTGGGGGGAATAATCTCTATTACTCATCTTTTGCACATCATTTGTTAAATAAACCCAATGTTTGGTAAATAAAACTCCCCAAAACAAATGCATATGGTATACAGTAGAAGGTTCTTAAACATTTTACATACATGCCAACAGTAACTCAAAGTTATATTTTAACCACATACTTAATACATATCTAGCTTTTATTAGCCACAGGAAACCTAGTAAAGTGGGTTTATGACCAAATATTTCTCATTCAGAGAAAGTCAGCTTTTAGGACCAGGTATATTCATATTTAGTCAATTTTACAAATAATGAATTTTAAGTTTCTTCACATAACTTATTTTCCTGACATTGTACATTGTGTATATGGTTTGACAGACGTACTTAAAAACACAATGACAGAATTGCAATTCGGCTTTATTAAGCACCATAACATAAACAAAGTTGATATATACGAGGTATATATATATATATATCACATGATTGGGCACTCTCCATCCTGAGGTTTACATACAAGGCAAATTTGAAGTTTGGAACTGATTAACACATATCTGACTGTCACAGAATGGTGAGAGATGTAGGTGATCTGTTGATGTCTTGGATTCTGCAAAAAAAAAAAAAAATATGGATATTTCAGGAAGTTGTTTTAAAAATAATGATATCGCCTCGAAAGCATGAGTCGTCATTTTACACTGGGCAATGTTGGCATGTATGTAAGAAATGTCACATACCTAGCACAATACTGTCACTTATCGGCGGTATTCAAAGACCGATTAATGCCAAACGACTAAGACAACTACACAGGAATTAGGTAAAATATCAAATATTTGTCACGTTCACCCACAATAACAAAACTATTCTATTTAAAGCACGAACGCAGTTCAAGCCTTTAAACTGAGCGCACTCACCGACACACATGTGCTACTTTCCTGCCTCAGGGAGCTGCCATGACACTGTCGCTAAGCATGCCGGGCGCGATTATCCGACGTCATGAGGGCGGGGCTCTAGTCTTGTCACACAGATACCACGTGGAAGGGGGGAGAGAGAGAGAGAGTGTGTGTGTGTGTGTTTTTTTTTTTGTTTTTTTTTTATTATTTAGGTTCACAAGTAAAGTGTATGACATTTATTTTATGTGTGTGAGAGTGGCATGGAGGCGGTTGTCAGTAAAAATAAAGAACCAGGACTGTCAAGCAGCCCTTTACCCTTAGTTTGCAACGCCTTGTATCAATTGTGTCCCCATTCTTCTTGCAGCGTGCACCCTCCCACACCCATTATGAGAAAGGCTATATCTTCCCTGGAGAAATCTGAGCAGAGATGTGCAGCTCTTCCATAAAAACAGCTCTGAACACTAAACAGTGAACCAGACCAATAATATCAATAATACCAAACCTCATAGACCAAAATAATATTCTCCCGATTGGTGTGGGAGGTGTGCAGTAAGTGGCAGTTTCAGCATACAGGGTTATTCACTAAAGTCTGAATGACCTTGTACCAAATGGGGCAAAAACATCCTGTGCTGTACAGGGTCATTTGGACTGCAAAATCTGTATATTGTTTACGCTATTAACAAAGTCCAAATTTTGCACTTCAGGCTCCAAACGAGCTTTAAAGCGGCACTGTCATGGCAGAATCCTGTTTTTTTTTAATCCCCCTCCTGACTCCACTACATCTAACTTACCCCCTAGGCACCCCCAAATGCCCCTAAGCCCCCCATATTACCTATTTTTTATCTTTATTTTCTGCCCCCATCTATATTCAGGGCGCCGCCATCTTTGTGTGGTCAGGTGAAGTCCCTGTGGGACACGTCATCTGCCCACACTAGATAGACTGTGAGATTCCCGCACAGGCCCAGTTAAACACTTGGGCATGCGAATGGGAATTTCATCTATTCATTTATTAATCAGAAAGACAAATGAATTAATAGAAATGTCAGACGAACAAACAAACACTGAATATCAGTTTATTACAAGGAGGGAGCTACCAGCTCGCAGCTCCCTCCTTGTAAAATGTAAAGGTAGAAGCGGCAGGGAGCAGTGATCCCCACCACTTTCTAGGCCCCCCATGTCATCCTCCCTCACTCTATGGGAATCAATATGACCCCCATAATAGCATAAGGGAGATTAAAATCTCCCGAATGCCCCTACTCGCTATACCTTGGGAGGGGGGGGTTTCATTTAGAGCCCCCACCCGCCGCTCAGGTGTGGGGGCCGGGTGGAGGACAATAGGTCCCCCCCTTATTGTTATTTATGGCCCCCACCCACCGCTCAGGGTTGGGGGCAGGGAGGGAGTACAATAGGTCCCCCCTTTATTGTTATTTAGGGCCCCCAGCCACCACTCAGGGTTGGGGGGAGGACAATAGGTCCCTCCTTATTGTTATTTAGGGCCCCCACCCGTCGCTCATGGGTGGGGGCCGCGGGGGAGGTCAGTAGGTCCTGCCCTTATTGTTATTTATGGCCCCAACCCACCGCTCAGGGGTGAGGGCCGTGGGGGGGGGAGGACAGTAGGTTCCCCCCCTTATTGTTATTTATGGCCACAACCCATCGCTCAGGGGTGGGGGCCGGGGGGGAGGACAATAGGTCCCCCCCCCTTATTGTTATTTAGGGCCCCCACCCGCTGCGAAGAGTGGGGACTAGGTTTTGGTTTTTTTTAACAGTGAGCAGCCACTGGCGATATAGCGAGTAGGGGTAGCATTTACTAATACCAAGTATTAGTAAATTTGTCTCAAAGACCAATTTAGGTCTTTCAGCCTTTTGGTAGATAGCTCCCTAATACCGTGAGAATTAGGGAGCTATTTACTAAGCAGCTGCAAGATGCAGCCGCGGCACGAATAGGATTGGAGTTTCATTCATTAGAATGAAATTCCGATACGAACAAAGTGCCGAATTGCGTTCTAACATGAATGGAGAAACTGTTCTCATTCTGTTAGGGCTAGTGATGTCGCGAACATAAAATTTTCGGTTCGCGAACGGCGAACACGAACTTCCGCAAATGTTCGCGAACCGGGCGAACCGCCATAGACCTCAATAGGCAGGCGAATTTTAAAACCCACAGGGACTCTTTCTGGCCACAATAGTGATGGAAAAGTTGTTTCAAGGGGACTAACACCTGGACTGTGGCATGCCGGAGGGGGATCCAAGGCAAAACTCCCATGGAAAATTACATAGCTGATGCAGAGTCTGGTTTTAATCCATAAAGGGCATACATCACCTAACATTCCTAAATTGTTTGGAATAACGTGCTTTAAAACATCAGGTATGATGTTGTATCAATCAGGTAGTATAAGGGTTACACCCGCTTCACAGTGACAGACCAAACTCCCCATTTAACGCACCGGAAACAACCGCAAACAGTCCATTTGCACAACCGCAAACTCCCCATTTGCACAAGGTTGGATACCAAGCTAGCCATGTCCCGTTCCTTGTCCTCACTGATGTCATTGAAGGTCTCTTCCTCCACCCAGCCATGTACAACACCAAGGGTCCCCAAAAGGTGACAACAAGCCCCCTGGGACGCCTGCTGTGTTTGGTCTTCCACCTCCTCAAAGCCACCTTCCTCCTCTGACTCCTCTTCTTCAGACTCCTCTCTCTGCATTGCCTCTCTCTGCGTTATTATAAGGTGTGTTAAGTAGTACTATTCCTATCAGTTTAATTCCTGTTACATCCCCTATCAGGGGACGTGTATATGGCATCGATTTTAGGAACCGGGAGATGGAAAAAGATGCTTGGTCGGTCCTCCTACTTCAAATTTGGGGCACTGCGCGTGCAATCTAATGTGCCACCAGATAGGAGTGGTGTGTTAAGTAGTACTATTCTTATCAGTTTAATCCCAATGTCACGACTACTAGTGTGGTCCAGCATGCAGAAACTATGTAAACATATACATAGGCAAGAAAAGGAAAATAAAAGGACGGAGCGTAAACCGGACCTTAGAATGGCCGTACTAATACGCTAGAGACAGAGAATGGTCAAAGGGAAAGTCGAGGTCAAGGAAGCCAGAAAATACACAATGCCGTTTACATAAGCCAAGCCAGGGAAACCAGAATGCAGAATAACCAGGGAAAAGCCAAGATCAGGATACCAGGAAATCAGATTCACAATGATAAAGCACTCTCAGGAAACCAGGAACAGGGCAAGGTACTGGGGTGAGCTAGGGATTTAAATATCACACGGTGGGCCGGCAACCGCGACACCCTGTTACGTCCCCCTCATCAGGCCTTTTTTAGTCAAATGTATCGCCCACTGTCAGTCCCTTCGGGATCCATCCCTCATTCATCTTAATAAAGGTGAGTAATCTAGACTTTTTTGACCTAGGCGACTTCTCTTCTCATGACAATACCTCCTGCTGCACTGAAGGTCCTTTCTGACAGGACACTTGAAGCGGGGCAGGCCAGAATTTCTATCGCAAATTGGGATAGCTCAGGCCACAGGTCAAGCCTGCACACCCAGTAGTCAAGGGGTTCATCGTTCCTCAGAATGTCGGTATCTGCAGTTAAGGCGAGGTAGTCTGCTACCTGTCAGTCGAGTCGTTCTCTGAGGGTGGACCCCGAATGGCTGTGGCGATGCGTAGGACTTAAAAAGCTCTGCATGTCCTCCATCAACAACACGTCTGTAAAGCGTCCTGTCCTTGCCGGCGTGGTCGTGGGAGGAGGAGGATTACTTTCACCTCTTCCCCTGTTAGATTCCTGTTGTGCTGTGACATCACCCTCATACTCTGTGTAAAGCATACTTTTTAATTGATTTTGGAACTGCTGCATCCTTTTCGACTTGCCGTAATTCGGTAACATTTCAGGCACTTTCTGCTTATACCGGGGGTCTAGTAGTGTGGACACCCAGTATAGGTCATTCTCCTTCAGCCTTTTTATACGAGGGTCCGTCAACAGGCACGACAGCATGAAAGAACCCATTTAAACAAGGTTGGATGCCGAGCTACTCATGTCCTGTTCCTCGTCCTCGGTGATCTCACTGAAGGTATGTTCTTCCCCCCAGCCATGTACAACACCACGGGTAGCAGATAGGTGACAACGAGCACCCTGGGATGCCTGTTGTGGTTGGTCTTCCTCCTCCTCCTCAAAGCCACATTCCTCCTCTGACTCCTCTTCCTCACAATCCTCTTCCAGCGTTGCCGCAGGTCCAGCAAGCGATGCTGATAAGGCTGGTTCTGGTGGTGATGGTGACCACAACTCTTCCTCTTCACGCTCATCTACGGCCTAATCCAGCACTCTTCACAGGGCACACTCCAGGAAGAAAACAAATGGTATGATGTCGCTGATGGTGCCTTCGGTGTGACTGACTAGGTTTGTCACCTCCTCAAAAGGACGCATGAGCCTACAGGCATTGCGCATGAGCGTCCGGTAACGTGGCAAAAAAATTCCCAGCTCCGCAGAGGCTGTCCTAGCACCCTGGTCATACAAATACTCGTTAACGGCTTTTTCTTGTTGGAGCAGGCGGTCGAACATTAGGAGTGTTGAATTCCAACGTGTCGGGCTGTCGCAAATCAAGCGCCTCACTGGCATGTTTTTCGCCGCTGGATATCTGAAAAGTGCACCATGGCCGTGTAGGAACGCCTGAAATGGCCATACACCTTCCTGGCCTGCTTCAGGACGTCCTGTAAGCCTGGGTACTTATGCACAAAGCGTTGTACAATCAGATTACACACATGTGCCATGCACGGCACATGTGTCAACTTGCCCAAATGCAATGCCGCCAACAAATTTCTTCCGTTGTCACAAACCACTTTGCCGATCTCCAGTTGGTGCGGAGTCAGCCACTGATCCACCTGTGCGTTCAGGGCGGACAGGAGTGCTGGTCCGGTGTGACTCTCTGCTTTCAGGCAAGTCAACCCCAAGACGGCGTGACACTGCCGTATCCGGGATGTGGAATAATACCTGGGGAGCTAGGGGGTGCCATTGATGTGGAGCAAGACACAGCAGCAGAAGAGAACTCAGCAAAGGAGGTTATGGAAGAG